CTGCACAAGTGTAGGCATTAGGAAACCCCAAAATATCATAACAGACTTTTGTATTTGGACCCTAAGATGGCATATCAACTAATATACAAATGACTTAAGTCACATTTGCAAATTTGACAATAGATACATTTTTACAATAAGAAACACTGTACAGATCCTAATTAGATCGATATGCATATCTGCAAATACTTGTGCATCCATTCACCATCCTAATTGTTCCAAATCTAAAGAAGTTGTTGCAGGTCTATTATTTTACCTAAAGACAGGAGTAACTTCTTCATCTAAATTGGCCTTTATTTAACCTAGTTCTGAGATGGAAGAATCTGATGTAATCTATTGTGTTAAAAATACCCATTGCTATCCAATATTTAAAATATCCATGTTCTCCTTCTCTCTTATATATTGCCCTAAGCCCTCAATCCCCCACTGAGCCTCTATTACCAACATATAGACATGGCTGAGAAGAAAAAGAGCATGGAAGAAGCTAATCAGGCAATACCCTGATTAATATGAATGTCCAGAGGTATCCTAGTCGCAGCCTGAGGGAATTGGATGGGGCCCTTCTATGGATGTCCCCTCTTGAAAGTCCAGAGTGGCTGCTGTTCGTTAAAGGGGAAGCTGGTCTGAACGGATATAAAAGAACTAATTTCCCTAGAGTCATTTGAAGGAGTCTTTTGTAGTATGAAGTTCTATCAAAACATCCTATTCCAATTATGGCTGTGTTTACTGCTTTGGTCTAATCAGCTGCCAAGAGTGCACAAATTTCAGTTGCAATGTTAGTATTTCTTAAGTGAATGGCTGAAGCTTTGTTTCTTAAAATGGAGAAGCTGCTCCATTGTAGGGTGAGGCTTTATATAGTTGACTACGGAAAACTTGGTTTGAACGTTGTTCAGGAGACACTGTACAATGTTCCCAGTCAAGCACAGTTGACTATTTTGAAGATTACTAGTAGCACATGATAACTTTACTTGATAAAGACATTTAATACAGGAGGCCTCTAGTGAAATCCTGGCCCCATTTAAGTCAACGGGATTCTTGCCATTGACTTCAGTGAGGCCAAGATGTCACTCAGTCATACTAGTTAAAACGGAGCTTTTTGAGGTGATACATTCCATAATGCATCAGACATCCTGAAAGAATATCTGTAAAGAATCCAATTTTTAAAAAACAGATAGCAAGGTAGTTGATACTAACATTTGATATGCTCAAAGCCGGAGCTATTTTGAAATCCATTAACTGTTTATAAAGTCCTTGCTTTTAGGAGGTCTGTTTTCTTTCAAGATACATTTCTTGTGGTGGTAAATGTAGCAATTGCTGTGTTAATGTTGGTGAGGATGTTGATATACATGAGTGGCATTTGACATAGGACTCTGGAAATAGGCTGAATGTAGTTGTAAGAGGGTTCTCTGTATTTTTAGTTAGTTAGTTAGTAGTTAGTATGAGCACAATCTAAATATGTTAAAAGAATTCAGTTGGGAAACAAGAATCAAGTAGTGGTATGATTTGTCACCAGTCTTAATTGAAATAGAATCTGTAGCCATTGTTAGAAATAAAATTCAAATACAATAATTACAAACAGAAAATATGCAAGCAAACCTTATTCAAGGTTGATGGGTTTGTAGTAAATCTTTACAACCCTGAAAGAGCTTTCACAAATTAGGTATCTTGGTATCCACAATGTTTCAGATAAAGGAGAACTCTTCAAAGCTAATTTTATTAAACAATTTACGAAAGCTATCAAAGGACTAGAAAAATGGTCTGGAATACCACTATGGTATCTCTCATTGAGAGGATTAGTGATATTAATTATAATTATTAGCGATATTAATTATAACTCTCCCACAAGTCAACTATCTCTTCTCAAATCTCCTCTTCGATATCCCTCAACTCTTCTTCAAACAAATTAATCTCAGTGTTTTTACATTCATTTTGGTCAGTCAGGCACCCAAAGCTGAATCGTAGACTGTGAAACATTCTTATGAAAGGACAACTGGCAGGCACAAACAAATCCCTGATGCAGGAAGAATAAGGCACAGAACCATGTCAGATTTTTTAAAAATAGCTAAAATGTCGTGAAAACACCCCGTGCCTGTATAACAAACTAGCTGAAATTATGGGGACATAATTCAAGTCATGAAAAAAATAGAAGAAAAAGCATTCATTATGCAATCTGTTCACATTACCAAATATAAATGTTGAGTCTTTGGATAAAGCACTTTATTGTTAATCAATGTTCTTGAACTTTTTACTATTTTCAATTGAACACGTTTGTTTTTCCAATTGCTGAATCAATATGAAGCTGATGAAACTATATGGAGTGTATGAGAATGCCAGCAATCCTCACTAGCGTGTTTCAGCCAAAACTGTTCTTTAGTTGAGAGCTGCTCAACAGATGTGATTGTAAAATTCAGATCCTGGATATAGGTATTTATAGGGACACTATCAAAAATTGTAGACTAGAACGTGGAATAACTTTTTTTTTCTTAAGTTTATATAATCCACATAATTGTATATGTTTTTTCCCAAAACAAATGCTTAAATAGACTTTTTTTTCAATTAAAAATAAATCCGTGAGAGTAGCCCAGCATTTCTGGATAACTCTACTTACACAACCCACTGTGAACTTATGTTAAAAGAAAAGATTCATGTAAGTTTTCACCTTCAAGCTACCAAGTTCAAGTTGTTATTCAGTCAATACAATAAACATTTTAAATGTATTTCTATAAACTGATGTTTTGAATATAAAGAGGATTTTGTTGGGGTAAGGGAACCTTAATAAAGGGACTGTGGTAAAGGAACAATGTATTTTTTGCATTCTTCTGATTGGTTATAGTTGATTTGTTGCCGCAAGAACCAGGGAGGTAAATGTGGTTGCCAGGAGGATAGATGTACAGTTAAAGAAAAGAAAATAAGAGGTGTTGCTCATCTGAAAGATAATGAGAAAATAGTCTGCTTTGACTTTATGTATGCAATGTTGTTGTAGTCCTATTGGTCACAGGATATTAGAGAGACAGGGTGGATGAGGTAACATTTTTTACTGGATCATCTTCTGTTGATGAGAGAGCCAAGCTTTTGAGTTACACATAGCTCTTCAGGTCTGGGAAAGGTATTCAGAGTGTCACAGCTGAATACAAGATCATATAAATAGTTTAGCATAAGTAGTAAGTACGTATTCTATGAGACTATTCAAGGTGAAGTGGTCCATTAACATCCCTGTAGTCATAGGACGAAAAGGGGAGGTTAGTGGGTTACAGATTTTTGTAATAAGTCATAAATCCAGTGTCTTTATTAAGACTGTGATTTTTAGTTTCTAGCAAAGTTATGAATTTAAGCTCCTGAGCTCATCTTTTGAAGGTGTTGTGCAGGTTTCCTTTGAGGATGAAGACTGATAGTTCAAATACAGAGTGATTGCTTTTTGAAAAGTATTCACACACAGGTGATAGAGTATTTTTGTCTTTTATCATTTTCCTGTGTGAGCTCATTTGAGAGAGTAGTGATTGTCTGGTTTCACCCACATAGTAGTTATTGGGGCATTTAGTGCACTGGATGAAGTACACCACATGTTGTGATTAGGTAGTTGTAGGACCCATAGATCTTGAAAGGTGCGTAGTGTGGGGGAGAGGGGGTAATTTGTAGCAGTGGAGATTTGTCCGCAGGTTTTGCATCTGTTGTTCTAGCAGGGCCTGGTGCTGCTTTGAGTTGGTGGTTCCTAGTCCATGGGGAGCTTGCTTCTGATGATGAGGTTGGGGGATTGTTTGAAGGCCAGAAGAGGGGATTCAGGAAAGATTTCTTTCAGGATAGGGTCCCCATCGATTATGGGTTATAGTTGTTTGATGATACCCTGTGTGGGTTCCAGGGTGGGGTTGTAGGTGACAGCTATGAGTGTGCAGTCAGAGGGGGGTTTATTTGCATATTGAAGCAGGTTCTCTCAGGGTGTTTGGGTGGTTTGGATTTTGTTAGGCACCAGTTTCTTAGGGTAGAGTTTTTTGGGGGTGAGTGGAGAATTTCATCTAGTGTCATATTCACAGTAAGGAGCAAAGAAAGCACCTTGCAGGGTATATGTCAAAAGCTGTATATATTGCCTCATGAGAGGCCAGAAGTGTGATTACTTCAATTCTGAAGGATGCTATACTATGGTTAATAGTTATTTATTATAAGTAGTTTCAGTATTTTGCCACAAAATCATAGGCATCATCATTTAAGTATATCTGGGGCAATGAATAGTCCAGCATCACAGTCACTGTAGCCGTATATAAATGGGATCCAATATAATGGCTTGTTTAATTTAATTTAAATTAATTTTTTCTTTTTGGTAGAGCAATTTAGGACCACGGCTGAAAGAATTATTTTGCTATGCCAGCAGTATTATACCTTGGCAGTAGTTGATTTGTATCTTACTGAGGATGTTGCTGTTTTGATAAATGTATTGTTATACTCTCATTTAAATTCACTTTAACTTTTATAGAATTATAAGGTAGGCAGAATCTGCAGAAAAAGTACAGCTTTCTAATATGTCACATTAATTTAAATTCATTGTAAAACTCCATGATGCAACTTCACAATTTAGGTAAATTTACAAATAAGTTAAGGCATTTATGCACAATTGATAAGAATTGGTTGGTTTTTTTCTGGTATGTATTCAAAGTAATTTTATTTTTCTTATGAAAGTACAACTGTAACAATCATTTCCATGTTAGTACTCACTTATGTAAAATTGAGGAGGTTTTTTTAAGTAGTTTTTATTTCAAGTTTATTGTTAGACTAGTGAAACAAAGAAGTAAGCAGTGCAATTTAAATCCTTATAATAGATAATATTTTATTTTGATCCTGTTTATATAGTTCATAGAGCTCTTTACTTTAACATTGTATGGGTTGTTCGTTTTATGTTCTTAATAAACAGTTTAAAAATATTCTCTTGTAAAGTATATTTAACTTCTTCATACACTCCCATCAATCCTTCATTTAAGCTGACTGATTTAAATTGCTTATTTATTTTTCAGTGTAAATGGTCCAGAAAAGGCTTCATTCGCACAAGATGGTGTATTACTGATTGGTATGTTGCATCCTATTAAGTTATTTATGCTTATCTTTATTTCATGTATATTTTCTATGAGAAACTTTATGTATATAACCTAATTTATTTGCTACAAAGAAGAGATGACAGATCATGCTTAGCTTTATTATGTGCATAATAATGCTCAGTAAATTGTAAATGACAAGTGGTAAAACTCACTTTTATTAATGTGATTTTAATATTTGCATATACTTGCCATTAGAATGATCAAGAAAATTATCTGTGAGGCACAGACATCCAAAAAGCTTTGGAAGTATTTATGAAAAAATATACCATTCTCTATGTACTCATTCAGCTAGCCATTTAGAGCCCAAGCCACTGCCCACTTAAGTCAATTGAAAAACTTCCAGTGACTTCACTGGGTGTTGGATCAAGCCATATACATCAGTTCCTGCTACATATTTGTGCACTGAAACACATTTGGAATGAGCAATTGTTCTTTCTTTGCAGAATTTAGGTCTGCCTTACTATTTTGGGCCCAGATTGTGGTTCATCCTATGCTGGCCAAATATTTAAAAACTCGGAATCGTAAATATTCAGTTTGCTCTTATCTGTAGGGTTACATTTTTAGTTATTATATGTTAGATGGGATAGTGCCTCCATAAGAAATCAAAGGGAATTGAGAGGTTTATCCCTCATAGATGTCTCCTGTTTTCAATAAATTATTATTGCTGCACAGGTCTTTAAATATAAATATATTCAGTTAAAATGGTGAATATTTAAGATATTTAGCAATCCTTTCCTTTTAAGAGTGCTTAGGAAAGTGTGAGTTTGTTGTGTAACCCTGAGATGAATTAGTAATTTATGCCAAAATAATGTTACTTAGAAAATAATGTAAACAGTTAGAAAACTAAGTGCAACATAGTAAGAAAAGCTGTTCGAAAGTTCAGTGTGGACAAAAGGATCTGAACATAATATCAATAATGTGAGGGAAAATATTTTGTGATCTGTTTGAAAAGTTTGTGACACGGACTGTACTTGACTATCAATTATGTGTATTACATCATGAGATTACCAAACCCACTTGAGTTGTGTCTGATGATAGGCTTATAAGAGAAAAGGTCATGTGGACTAACATTCACTCTTACGTTAGTTTTGCATTATTTCTTAACTTATCAATAGTTTTTAAAGCCCAGCATTATTGCGTAGAGTGGCTGAGAATAGGTCACATATCTCAGTGACCTAAACCAGAGAAACTTCAGCGCAGACTGACTCTGATGTTGTGGTACATTTAAGAGAAAAAGCCTCTATAGTTGAGACGTTTAAGCTTATTTCATATTTATTTATTTTGGGGCATATTTCTTTATTTGTCTTTAAAATTTAAAAGGAGTGCAAGGGACAAAAATTGGAAAGAAAAAAAAACTGGAAAAATTGGCTAAATTTCACCTTCGTTTATCCAGGAATGAATGGTTGGCTCAGAAAGAGGCAAGCTCTATCTCTGAAGAACACCAAATATATGTTTCTTATTCTTCAAGCTGTTGGTAAACTGCTGCTATAGATATGGCAGATTTCAGGGGAAATTAATGGTTGTTTCTGATATAATTTTGGGTAATTAGAATGGAAGATCTTGTTCTAAATATCAAATGCATCCATTAGATTCTAAAAAAAAGCAGAGTAAATAATAATGTATTGTGCCATCAAGAAAGCATGAATATGGTACCCTTAAATAAGTTGAGGCATGGTGGCTGAGTGGTTAAAATACTTCATTATAATCCCCAAAGCTGTGGGTTTGAGTCTTGCTCAATCTCACACTGAAAGGCTACCTCTAGTTCGCCCAACTGCAAAATGGGTACCTGATCCACAGAGGTGAGAAGTCAACGGTATTGACTATGGAAACTGATGTGCCTTAAACTGCATCAGCCTGATGAGTCATCTGCGCCTTGAACTTTTTTTTTTTTTTTTACAACCAAATAATGTCCAAGATCATTACAATATTACATAAAAAAACGTTATCTGAGAAGAAGCTGTACCACCTATTAACTTTGTTTCCTATGGTCATCTGCAGTTGACTATTAGACGTTTCTTTGGTAGATAGTTTATCTGTTTTTTAATTGGTTGCATTAATATTGTTAACTCTTTGGGTGAGATAGAGAACTGGAGCTCTCTGAGATTCTGTGTTCTGAACACATTTGATCCAGATTTAGGAACCTGTACAGCAATGTATTTATGCATGTACCTAATTTTCAGCACATGAATAGTCTCTTTGAAGTCAAGATTCATGTGCTTAAAGTTAGATATGTCCTAAAGTACCTTGCTGAAATACACCCTAAATGAGTAACATTCACAGCAGAGGTATATGCAAGACAAAGGGTCTATGTAGGTGATATAGATTTTGAAAGTGTTTATATGCAAATTATATTATTAATAATTACTGATATTGGGATCTGATTGTGCAGGACACTGTACAAACACAGGCGAGTCCCAACCCCAGAAAGCTTGAATGTGGTTCCTATCTTATGATAAGGAAAAATACTTAATATTCACCAAACTGCCTTCACAGATCCTTACTCTTAGGAATCATGTGTGCTGCTGTATGGATCCAGAACTGGAAAAGGCAGTAAGGGTGTAATAGGGTAACATTATACCACAATATATGCACCACAGCCATATCTATAAGGGAGGGACCTCAGCCCTGTCCCACAAGGTGCAGCTTTTCCTTTTGCCATCGGACTTGGAACTGTTGGTGTCTCACCACATTTCCCATGTTCTCTGACTCTTTACTGTAGCTCTTCATGTGTTCTGTTGTTCAAAGATAGTTATAAAAAACAAAGGTATTTTTCTCTTCTGTGGATATTTAGAATGTGAAGCATTTCAGATCCTAAAACAAGGAGAGTTTGATTTTAAACTGTGTGACAAATGTTCACATACAATATTCGTAAGTGATTAATACTGTTCTTGGTTGTTGTATTTAGAATATGCACATTAATTGGCTGAGCATTTGGTGACAAACAAGGGAACGGCTACTTCCTCCTTTGATAAACTCTGATTTCACCATAAGTTAGGCAGGCAACTGTCAGATAAGTTTAATGCTCTTTAATCTTCCTGAATCCAGGTGGCACAGCATGTGCCTCCAAAGATGGGGCTCTGTGGAGGAATATATATTTATAAAAAGAACAGGAGTACTTGTGGCACCTTAGAGATTAACAAATGTATTTGAGCATAAGCTTTCATGGGCTACAGCCCACTTCTTCAGATGCATAGAATGGAACATATATTGAGGAGATATATATACTCACACATACACAGAGCATGAAAAGGTGGGAGTTGTCTTACCAACTCTGAGAAGCCAATTAAGTAAGAGAAAAAAAACTTTTGAAGTGATAATCAAGATAGCCCAGTACAGTTAGTTTGATAAGAAGTGTGAGAATACTTACATGGGGAGATAGATATATATTTATAGAACACCAATTATTGGTAACTAACCAAGTCTTTTCTTCTTGCCTCATGAGGGACCCCAAGGTCTGTGCTGCCTTCTTGGGCTTCCTATTTTGGGACACTTAGAAGCTGTGTTTAGAGAAAACATTATTCAAGGATGGGTTCAGAGTAAATTTTTATTCCAAGATAGGAAATGAATAATTGCTGGAGGGATTGGGCTGTGTGGCTGAATGATTTGATTAAACTTTATATTGTGTATAATTTTCATAGGGCTATTTTCTGCCTGCCCTTTAGAGGGCCACTCCATTGTAAAGGGTAAAAATTAAGAGGCCCCACAAACCTTTGTGTGATCTGCTTAAGGGATGAGCAGAATTGCAGTTGCTATGGTCAAAATTGTGTGTAACTACTAGCAGGATGCTCTGATGGGCATGCAGGCATCCAAAGGTGATGGAGAAGGGTCAGGCATAGGCAGAGAACATATACCTAATGAAATAGGTGTAAGACTATGGCCATCTGTTTAAGTGTGCATGTGCCTGTTCACTAAATAACAGGTGACCACGTGTAAGAAATTCAGATTTGTTTAAACACATTACTTTTCATATGATTTATAGAGTTCCTTTTACCCAAAGGTTTTTAAAACCTTTCTAGATTGTACATTTGGGGAAAATTCTAGCTTCTCACACACAGAAAAAATCCTCTGGGCTGGAGACTAACAATTAGTTAACCACGGCCTCAAAGGCCACAGAAGCAAATGAAACTGTATTTTGGTAGCTAAAACTGGTTCCATTATATAAAACCTGGAACTTCATGGCTCCAATTTCTGCTTCTGTGCCACAGCAAACAGTTCCTTCAACAGCTTTGCTCTGAGTAGAGAGACTAAGGATACGTCTACCCTGGAGTTAGAAAGAAGAATTTCCAGCTCGAGTTGACATACTCATGCTAGCTCTGATTTAGTTAGTGCACTCAAAATAGAAGAGTAGCTGCAGGAGCGTGAGCAGCGGGAAGGGCTAGCCACCCCACATATGATCCATTTGAGACCCCAAGTATATACTTGGACCAGCTAATCCCTTGCACTGCTTGCACCACCATGGCTACACTTCTGTTTTTAGCACACTACCTCGATCAGAGCTAGCACAGGTGTGTCTCCTCAAGCTGGAAATCACACCTAACAGCTGTAGTGCATATATACCCTTAATCTCCCTACTCAAAGCAAAGCTATTGAAGGAAATGTTTGCTGCAACACAGAAGCAGAGGCTGGAACTGTGAAGTTCTAGGGTTTGTTCAATGGAAGCAGAATGAGATGCTAATGGTATAAGGTAAAGTGACATTATATTCATTAGAATGTTTCTTAAAATAGGAAGTAAAAATAGAGGGTACACCTCTACCCCAATATAACACTGTCCTCGGGAGCCAAAAATTTTTACCGCATTATAGGTGAAACCACATTATATTGAACTTGCTTTGATCCGCTGGAGCGCGCAGCTCCACCCCCCCCCATAGCCAGGGCCGGCTCCAGGCACCAGCCCACCAAGCTGGTGTTTGGGGCGGCACCTGGAGGGGGGCGGTGCAGCGCTCCAGCCCGAGAGCGGGACTGCGACTGGGCTCGCTGCCCTCCCGCCGGCGCTGCCTCTGGCCGCCGGGGAGAGCGGAGCCCCGGCTGGGCTCGCCGCCCTCCTCCCGGCGCTGCCTCTGGCCGCCGCGGAGAGCGGAGCCCCGGCGGGGCTCGCCGCCCTCCCCCTGGCGCAGCCTCTGGCCGCCGCGGAGAGCGGAGCCCCGGCGGGGCTCTCCGCCCTCCCCTGCGGGGGGGGCGGCGGGAGGCTTTTTTGCCTGGGGCGGCAAAAATGCCAGAGTCGGCCCTGCCCATACCGCTGCTTTACCGCGTTATATCCGAATTCGTGTTATATCGGATCGCATTATATTGGGGTAGAGGTGTATAGTGCAATTGACATTGCAAAGGACGTCATATAGACAGGAATATTGCCAAGATACGATTATTGTTGTTCATATTACAACACTGTCCAAAATATGCAAGGTACTGTACAGGCATATAGCAAGACACAATCCCTACCCCAAAGAGCTTACATTCTTATGGCAGATATGGCAGAACTACTGAAAGCTGCAATAATAGGGGGAGGGAAAGGAGGATGGGCAGACAGAGGTTACATAAACAAGATCAATTGCTAAACAGCCAGTGGGGCCACTGGATGATTGAGATGCTAAAGGAGCATTCAAGGACGATAAAGTTATTGCTGAGAAACTAAATGAATTCTTTGCATCGGTCTTCATGGCTGAGGATGTGAGGGAGAGTCCCAAACCTGAGCCATTCTTTTTAGGTAACAAATCTGAGGAACTCACCCAGATTGAGGTGTCATTAGAGAAGGTTTTGGAACAAATTGATAAACTAAACAGTAATAAGTCACCAGGAGTTCTGAAGGAACTCAAATGTGAAATTTCAGAACTACTAACTGTAGTCTGTAACCTATCATTTAAATCACCTTCTCTACCAAATGACTGGAGGATAGCTAATTTTGACGCCAATTTTTTTAAAAGGGCTCCAGAGGTGATCCCGGCAATTACAAGCCTGACTTCAGTACTGGGCAAACTGGTTGAAACGATAGTAAAGAACAAAATTGTCAGACACGTAGATGAACATGATTTGTTGGGGAAGAGTCAACATGGTTTTTGTAAAGGGAAATCATGCCTCACCAATCTACTAAAATTCTTTGAGGGGGTCAACAAGGATGTGGACAAGGGGGATCCAGTGGATATAGTGTACTTAGTACTTTTCAGAAAGCCTTTGACAAGGTCCCTCACCAAAGGCTCTTAAGCAAAGTAAGCTGTCATAGGATAAGAGGGAAGGTCCTCTCATGGATTGGTAACTGATTAAAAGATAGGAAACAAAGGGTAGGAATAAATGGCCAGTTTTCAGAATGGAGAGGGATAAATAGTGGTGTCCTTGTATTGGGCCAAGTCCTTTTCAGTATATTCATAAATGATCTGGAAAAAAGAGTAAACAATGAGGTGGCAAAATTTGCAGATGATACAAAATTGCTCAAGATAGTTAAGTCCCAGGCAGACTGCGAAGAGCTACAAAATGATTTCTCGTGACTGGGCAACAAAATGGCAGATGAAATTCAGTGTTGATAAATGCAAAGTAATACACATTGGAAAACATAATCCCAACTATACATATAAAATGATGGGGTCTAAATTGGCTGTTACCATTCAAGAAAGAGATCTTGGAGTCATTGTGCATAGTTCTCTGAAAACATCCACTCAATGTGCAGCTGCAGTCAAAAAGTGAACAGAATGTTGGGAATCATTAAAAAAGGGATAGATAATAAAACAGAAAATATCATATTGCCTCTATATAAATCCATGGTATGTCCACATCTTGAATACTGCATGCAGATTTGGTCGCCCCATCTCAAAAAGATATATTGGAATTGGAAAAGTTCAGAAAAGGGTAACAAAAATTATTACGGGTATGGAACAGCTGCCATATGAGGAGAGATTAATAAGATTGGGACTTTTCAGCTTGGAAAAAAGACGACTAAGGGGGGATATGATAGAGGTCTGTAAAAGTATGACTGGTGTTGAGAAAGTAAAGAAGGAAGTGTTATTTACTCCTTCTCAGAACACACAAACTAGGGGTCACCAAATGAAATTAATAGACAGCAGGTTAAAACAAACAAAAGGAAGTATTTTTTCACATAACGCACAGTCAACCTGTGGAACTCCTTGCCAGAGGATGTTGTGAAGGCTAAGACTATAATAGGATTCAAAAAAGAACTAGATAAATTCATGGAGGATAGGTCCATCAATGGCTATTAGCCAGGATGTGCACGGATGGTGTCCCTACCCTCTGTTTGCAGAAGCTGGGAATGGGCAACAGGGGATGGATCACTTGATGATTACCTGATCTGTTTATTCCCTCTGCGGCACCTGGCATTGACCACTGTCGGAAGACAGGATACTGGGCTAGATGGACCTTTGGTCTGACCCAGTATGGCCATTCTTATGTTCTTATTTAGTTGTTATGCATAGAGCTGGTAAGAGAAAGGTAAGTCCATGTTGCAGAGGATTTTAATATTTCAAGATTTGGTTTCATTCCAATGAGGAGCAAAACCAAAAATGTCAAAATTCTCTGTGAAAGGGAATGGAACACCAGCTCTGGGGCTGTCTGCCTGGAAGGCTGCCCTGGTGCCGCAGAGCCTGGAAGTCCTGGGGTTCCTGGTAGCCCACTGGGTGGGCAGGCAGATGAGCTGGCAGGAAGTCAGGTAGGTTCCGTCGGATCTTCAGTGAAATCAAACCATTTCCACAAAATGTTTCAATCTCTAAAACACTGTTTCATCTGAATTTTTCCAACCATGCACATGTCAAGTTACAGTTTGCCCAGTTTGCACAAAAATCCCCACCCCTGTCTCTGAGCTGTAATTGATCTCAATCTTTCTATTTTTGTATAATACATAAACTTTAAACAGAAGCCTAGCTGAAACCTTAACTATGGATCAGATTGGTGCTACTCTCCATGGCAATTTCTACTATGATAGCATAACTTTGCACTGTCTGGATGAGTAAATGTAAGTTGCTGTAGCAGTGAATATACAATGTTGTGCTATGATGTTGAATGCTCCACTGCTTGCTGCTAATGTTTTTTCTTTTATCCTGAGTCATTTTATTTGTTTTTCCTTTGTCATAGTGCCTTTGACTTGGTAAACATTCATCTTTTCCATGATGCTTCCAATTTAATTGCTTGGGAAACAAGCCCATCGGTTTACTCAGGAATACGACATAAGGCTCTTGGTTATGTACTTGATAGGTATGTATTAGTCTCTATTAGTCTCTCTCATCCTCCTCTTCCCCTTAGTAGTTTATAAAAGCTATGATAAAAATTACTTTCTAGCCATACCGAGATTTTTTTATTCCATTGTCCAATAACAGTCACACACAGTATACTGTTTATAGCATTTTCCTCCACTTGCAAAACTGCACTAATACAGATTAAAACAATACACTTTTTATAAAAGTTAAGAATGTTTTCACATGGATCCGATTAGAGGTCCGTTTGTGATGCTGATTATTTTAAAAGAAATTGAAAAGACTGGGGAATTTCTATGGACTTTCTATAGCCTTTTGTAGCCTAGGGAAAAAAGTATATTTTTTAAATGTGTTAGCACATCTTAAAAGTACACCTTTTTTCCCCTAGTCTACACAGGGGCTAAGTAAAAACAAATAGTGTTGATGTTCAAATGTGTTTTTAATGCAAGGTTTGTTAATCTCAACACAGGCAGTGTACACTAAACACCTAATCTGTTTGTAAAAGAGAATATATTATTTGTACACAGCTATTGATAGCACCACAGTCTATAAAAGTGCTAACAAAGTAAACTCAGTCCACTGGGCAGTGCACTGTCAGAATATGCTAAAGAAACTTTTGATAATCCTCTTTAGCAGTTATGGATCCATGATAAAGGCATCCATCAAGAAAAGATGATTTATGTATGGGCATACATGTATAGGCAGAAAGGAAGTATGTTTATACAGCAGTAGCCTGAACTGTCACATCTAATGATTCTTCTGGAAGATTTGAATGTTTCTTTTATGAAGTATTGATTGACTTCATGTTTCCCAGAGAAATAGAGCCTAAAAGTTTCTCTTTAAAGAAGTCTTCATATGCAATGTTATCTATGACATAATGGTGATACTGTAAATATAACTTAACTTTAACTGTAGCCCACGAAAGCTTATGCTCAAATAAATTTGTTAGTCTCTAAGGTGCCACAAGTACTCCTGCTCTTTTAACTTTTTAGGAATCTCTCTATAATTTGATATTAGGAGTGAATAGGTTCATTCATAACATGGTTCTTTTCATGCAGTTCTTTCTCTTTTCCTTTCTTATCTAAACATTGAAATTTTCTCATCTTCAAACATACATGCATGCTTTCTGTGACATTGCTAGTAGTTACATCTCCCTGCTTCTTAACAGATTCCCATCACCCTGCACCCAACCTTCCCTCCCTTGTTCCTTGCAAGACACGTCCCTTCCACTCTCTCACATACACTCTCCCCAGACTTTGCCTTCTCACCCTCACACACACAGTCAGCTGGTACCAGTATGGCCATCTTTTTCTCTCTGGGCAGGAAACAAGTGCATTCTAACATATGTTAATTAACATGTTTAAAATCCTAATGCAGACAAGGCAAGTTGTAGCTGTAACGCACATAAGTTAGCTGGTTGAGACAAACAATAGGGTCCTCGACCAGCTAACACATGTTAAAACTACAATTTGCCTTGACTCAGTAGGATCTGAACATGTTAGCTAATGTGCTCATAGACTTTAAGGTCAGAAGGGACCATTATGGTCATCTAGTCTGACCTCCCGCATGATGCAGGCCACAAAAGCTGGCCCACCCAATTTCCCTTATCTCAGCTGTTGAAGTCTCCAGATCGTGATTTGAAGACTTCAAGTCGCAGAGAATCCTCCAGCTTGAGACCCCTGCCCTATGCTGCGGAGGAAGGCAAAAAACCTCCAGGGCCTCTGCCAATTTACCCTGGAGGAAAATTCCTTCCCGACCCCAAATATGGCGATCAGTAGAACCCCGAGCATACAGGCAAGATTCTCCAGCCGGACCCACATTTTACCAGCGATGGCACGTTATTGCCTAATTGACTAAAATCACGTTATCCCATCAAACCATTCCCTCCATAAACTTATCTAGCCTAATCTTGAAGCCAGAGAGGTCTTTCGCCCCCACCGTTTCCCTCGGAAGGCTGTTCCAGAATTTCACCCCTCTGAAGGTTAGAAACCTTCGTCTAATTTCAAGCCTAAACTTCCCCACGGCCAGTTTATATCCATTCGTTCTCATGTCCACATTAGTACTGAGCTGAAATAATTCCTCTCCCTCCCTGGTATTTATCCCTTTGATATATTTAAAGAGAGCAATCATATCCCCCCTCAGCCTTCTTTTGGTTAGGCTAAACAAACTGAGCTCCTCGAGTCTCCTTTCATAGGAAAGGTTTTCCATTCCTCGGATCATCCTAGTGGCCCTTCTCTGTACCCGTTCCAGTTTGAGTTCGTCCTTTTTAAACATGGGAGACCAGAACTGAACACAGTATTCCAAATGAGGTCTCACTAGCGCCTTGTATAACGGAAGCAGCACCTCCTTGTCCCTACTAGAAATACCTCGCCTAATGCATCCCAAGATCGCATTAGCTTTTTTCACAGCCACGTCACATTGCCGGCTCATGGTCATCCTGCGATCAACCAGGACTCCGAGGTCCTTCTCCTCCTCTGTCACTTCCAACCTATGCGTCCCCAGCTTATAACTAAAATTCTTGTTAGTCATCCCTAAATGCATCACCTTACACTTCTCACTATTAAATCTCATCCTATTATTATTACTCCAATTTACAAGGTCATCCAAGTCTCCCTGCAGAATATCCCAATCCTTTTCCGAATTGGCAATGCCTCCCAACTTTGTGTCATCCGCAAACTTTATAAGCCCACTCCTACATTCGGTTCCGAGGTCAGTAATAAATAGATTAAATAAAATCGGACCCAAAACCGAACCTTGAGGAACCCCACTGGTGACCTCCCTCCAACCTGACAGTTCACCTTTCAGTACTACCCGCTGCAGTCTCCCCTTTAACCAGTTCTTTATCCATCTCTGGATTTTTATATCGATCCCCATCTTTTCTAATTTAACCAATAATTCCTCATGTGGTACCGTATCAAACGCTTTACTAAAATCGAGGTATATTAGATCCACCGCATTTCCTTTATCTAGAAGGTCTGTTACCTTCTCAAAGAAGGAGATCAGATTGGTTTGGCACGATCTGCTAAAACAGACCTTTTCTCCTAGTGAAGACTAAGCCTCTGTAGATACCATGACATGCTGCTTTCCCTACTCCTCCTTCTAAGCCCCCATGCTTCCCAAGTTCCCTCTCTACAAATCCTAGTGTAACCCACACACCTCCTGGGTGTGGTGTTCTGTCCCATCTAGTGGCACCGAGACCACTTAGAGAGAGAGAGAGAGAATTAAATGAGTCTGCTCTACAGCCTTGGTTAAGAGCCAGTTGGCTTTTAGCTCATATGGTAGAGCAGGGGTCGGCAACGTTCAGCACGCGGCTCGCCAGGGTAAGCACCCTGGCGGGCCGGGCCAGTTTTATTTACCTGCTGACGCGGCAGGTTCGGCCGATCGCAGCCCCCACTGGCTGCGGTTCGCTGTCCCGGGCCAATGGGGGCGGCGAGAAGCCGCGGCCAGCACATCGCTCGCCCGCACCGCTTCTCGCCTCCCCCATTGGCCCGGGACGGCGAACCACGGCCAGTGGGGGCTGCGATTGGCGGAACCTGCCGCGTCAGCAGGTAAATAAAACTGGCCCGGCCCGCCAGGGTGCTTACCCTGGTGAGCCGTGTGCCGAACGTTGCCGACCCCTGCGGTAGAGGCTCATGCACTAAGCTCCAGAGGTCCCCAGTTCAATCCTGCCCATGGTTTTTCAGTAAAAGATGTCCAAGACCAGTGAAGAAACTGTCACAGCCACATCTTTTCAGAAAAGGTTGAGCGAGTTAACTTTATTTATTTGAGCCTTAATATACTGGAGATCAGCCTAAGAGTGTTGCTATATGGGAAATCCAAGTTCAGACTGGCAGGTACTAAGAGTGGCTTGTGCATCCCTCCCCCAAGCCATTACTTTCAGCAGCACTGGATGGGTAGCCTCATAAGGAGCACTTTGGGGGGATGGGGGAGCGGGGGCGTCAGATGAGCAAGGGAGAAGGGGTAAATGCGTACAAATATGGGAGGATCTTAAAAATCCCCATTCCTTCACCCTATCAAAGGTTAGGCTGTGCTCAAAGGTTGGGCTGAGATTAAGGGTGACTCATGGTCAATGAACCAGCTCCTCTCTCCATCATTTACACACAATGTTCCCCTTTGCACTGAGATGCTGCATACAATATCATCCTCTGTAAGGAATTCTCTACGAAAGAAAAATAGTTTATTTTGCTGATTGTTTCCTATAGAAAATGAAGAGGAAATAGAGCCAAATTTAGATATCCAGCATAAAATACCTTGTTTGTATGTAGACAGTATTGTGCTTTTTCCTATTTTTAGATTTAATTGAAAGACTCTTAAAGTATAGAATTAGGTATAGATACTTTCTTATTTAGAAAATATAGTAGCCAAAGCCTTACCTCTCTGCTTATGTCTCCAGGATAATTTTCATTTAGCTAAAAACTGGCCCATCTATTTAATGAAAGATTTAGCTTTTTTCCACTGTGTGCACAACCTACTTTTCCACTATACACCAGTAGGGGGTAGGTAGGAAATGCTTTAACATTTAGTGTGTCGTTCTCACTTTTGGGAGGGCTGGAAGAAGAGAAATCATTATTCTGATGCCATTTCTATCAGAGTAAAGCGGTTAAAACATTTTTTTTTAAATCATGAACTTTTTTGATGTTATGTAAATAGATTGCTGTGTAAGTTTATAAGAGATACTTTGAATTAATGAACTAAGCTTCAATGACTTCTAGATCTGTTTGACTGGGAGTGCTTTTAGCCAAAAAATATGATATATATTGTTACAGTACCCCAACAGATAAGATAATTATTCCTTTGCTTTGTTTTTTGGGGTTTTTTTTCCTGTTCCTCTTCTCTTTCGTTCTGCATTAAGGAACCTAAACAGATCTATCTGTATTATTTATTGCTTGCTTGCCACAGCATGCTATGTGCTTCATTTAGCTAATTTTGGCTTTGGACCTCCCACGATGCCCTGGCAAGGGTAAGGAAATCAGACTGTAGTATTAGTGTTAACTGTGGGTC